CTGGACCCACAAACCAACTGTGATTTCCAGGGTTGGGTCAAGTAGTCTCTGTGTCACGGGCACGGGCTTGCTGCCACGACTCTGGAAGTGCTCTTGGCCACAGGTCTGGTTTTCCTCTCTGCGGGCATCTGGGTATTTTACCTCTCCGCCCGGATTTTGTACCTCAGGACGAAGTAGGCAATGAGGCGCAAGGAGATGAAGAAAATGCCCAGAACGATGAAGTCCAAGTAGAGCTTGGCATTCTCCACGTCTAGCTCCCTCAGGATGGCCTCCGACTTCTGAAAGTGGCACGTGTCATCGATATCACAGTGCAGGTCCTCTCGATCCAAGCCATAGATGGAGAGGATGACTCCCTCAAATCCATATCTAGGAGGAAGGTACAGGGCATGAGGGACCAGTGCCACCCACTGGCCAAGCCACGTGCTGAAGGTCACTACTGTTCACCCTCTTCTTGAGTCCTAGCCTGGCTTTCCTCTCTTCCCAGAAAGTTTTATTCACTGAAATACTTCCTGAACACTCATCGTCTCCCTAAGATAACCTTATTTAATAGCTTGCTAAGCTTTTATCCCAATTTTGTCACCTCTCCCCCTCCCCCATTCCCCTTGCATGCACGCGCACACACGCGCACACACACACACACACACACACACAAATTGAGGGGCTGGACAGCGGTGCAGCAGTAAGACACAGAGCCTTGTGAGGCAATACAACATGGGAAGGTTCCCAGCTCAAGTCCAGAAACCTCCTTGAGTTTGTGTGCCCATGACCCAGCACTGGTTAAAGACTAAGGGTGGATCACAGCACTGGAACCCTGTAGAGGGCAATATCTCTTTCTCTCTGCCCCCCATCTCTCTTGCTCATAGATGATATAAATAAATGAACTTAACACGAAACAAACAAAACAAGAAACAAAACAAAAAAACATGTGGCTTGGTGGTTAAGGTGCTGGACTCCCACATGACCACAATTCGAGTCCTGGACCTGGCAACTTGAAAATCACGCCAGGCATGGGAACCAGCAGTTAGCGTAATGGCTATGTCGCTGGACTCACACGTAGTCGACCGCAGTTCGTGTCCCGGACCCGGTGGCTTAAAACTCACGTCGGGCGCGTGTGCATGCATGCCCAAGATCCCGAGAGGAGAATGGAGGAGAAGGGATTGCGGCGTGACCATCCCCCCTGGGGGGTGATTTCTGGCTTTCTGTCTCTATGTCTCTCTGTCTGTCTGGCGAGCGCACGCGCCCTACAGTGAAAATCTAACCCCTCAAAAAAAAAAAAAAAAAGAAAATCACGCCAGGCATATGTGTGTGAGTGTCCAAAATTCTGAGAGGAGAATGGAGGAGAAGGGATTGTGGTGTTGCTCTCCCTCCTACAGGGTAATTTCTCACTTTCCTTCATTTTGTCTGTCTCTTGGGTGAATGTAGAAGCTTACAAAAAAAAAATAATAATAAATAAATAAATGAATCCAATGAATTGGTAGGTATTCACTCAGTGGCAAAATGAGTTGAACTGCACTTAGATTACTTTTGAAGTGACAGGCTTTGTACCAGTGGGTCTGACACCTTGCAAGGACTTCAGAGCGTCTACAGCAAACATTTGTCTGTTATTCTGTCCTGGCCCTGCACTGTCACAACAAAAGCACTCATTTTGAGAAGGTAGGCGCTGGTTTCTGATTTCTTAGTGCTGGAAAGCACGTGAATTGCTGAAATCCTGCATAAGTGCTTTGTTTTGATGTTGCTATCCTGAACGATATACCTGGGCCTGAGCTGACATTCTAGAAACGAAGAGCTTGTTCCCAACTTTGGATCTTTGTGTCATAGGAACTGCAGCAGTGGGGGCAGGGGAGGAGGGGGCTCTAAAGGAGGGTACTGACCATGATGCTGATGCCCCAACTTGCCTAAGCCACTCAGATGGGGGTGCAATCCGATAGCCTCTGGCCTCAGGCAGGCACTGGCACATTCTCGCAAAGATATCAGGATGTCCGAAGGTGCAGCTTCTCCCTGGGTTTCTTATTCCGGTTTTATAATCTGGACTGTGTTATAAGCACTATCTGCCTCTGAGAAGATTGCTCGACATCCCTCATCATAAGGGAAATGCAGATAAAAACCACAATGAGATACCACCTAACCCCTGTCAGAATGGCAAAGATTAAGAATATAAAAAGTGATAAGTGTTGGCGGGGATGTGGTGAAAAGGGAACCCTCCTACACTGTTGGTGGGAATGTAAACTAGTTCAACCACTGTGGAGAACAATATGGAGGTTCCTCAAAGATCTACAAATAGAACTACCATTTGATCCAGCAATCCCACTTCTGGGTATTTACCCAAAAGACAGGAGAACGCTCAGTCAGAAAAGTGCTTGCACATCCATGTTTATTGCAGCATTATTCACAATTGCCAAGACATGGAACCAACCTAAATGTCCACAAACTGATGAATGGATTGGAAAAGTGTGGTATATATACTCTATGGAATACTACTCAGCCATAAAAAATAACAAGACCCTGGAATTTGATAGAAAATGGTCAGATATGGAGGATCTATTGCTGAGTGAAGTAAGCCAGGCTATGAAAGAAAGATATTGTATGTATCCACTCAATATATACCGACTATCCGCACTCTATAATAGAGAGCAAAAATTCGGAGGACATAAACACAGTGAAGGTACTTAATGAGAATAGGACAGTGTGGAATGGGGTAAGTGAAGAGAAGAGGATAGAGAAAGATAGCAAGTGAACAATAGAGAGACAGGACGTTAGTGAGAAACAGATAGGGGTTATTAACTGTTGATGATGACATGTATAGTATTCTCAACTGGATTGGTCTGAGAAGTATTTCATGATGGGCAAAGTATTTTTACAAGCAAAACGAGAAATAGCAATTGACTGTTTTATAAAAATAATTAGAATAATAAAAATAATGATTGGGGAAAACAGAAAAGATATGGAATGTTGAAGTGGGGAGATTAATGTCTCTGTACTGACTGACATGCATGGCATTCCCTTTTGAAAAAACAATGTAATACACTGTAAAGTTATATGTAATCCAATGTAATATAAATAAGATTATGATGATAATAAAAATAAAAATAATTAATTAATTAATTAATTTAAAAAAAAAAAAAAAGCTGTGAAGGAAACTAAGGGAAGAAACGCAAAGCCAAGAAGGCCGATGCCAGTGGCAAGGTTAGAAAGGGTGAAAGAGACCGATCTTTGCTAGCAGATGGTGTATCACAGAACTTGGTAGGCAGGGCCGAATTGAGAAGGTTTATATGTGACTTATGTGCTGGGCATTTGCTTTCCAACAACTTGAGTAGTTGACATGTAAATATTTTCTAAAAAATATTTAAAACCATACTGTCTCTGTTGTTAAAGAGTCGCAAACAAAATTATACAAAATTATAAGAAATACTTTGAACATGATCTTTAAAATTCAGTATTTTGAAATTTTGCAAGTTGTTTATTAACTGTCAAGAACTATCGAGTACGAGCTAAAATTTTTTGATATGTAAAGTAAATGTTTGTGCAAAAATGTAAAAATAAATAAAGAGTTTGCTTATCAAGGCAAAAAAAAAAAATGGAAACGCTTCCACTGAAGGCAGTTTTTAGAACCCCATGGAGTATGAGAGCATAACTTAGCTTCTTCAGGGGTTAAATGACGAGTATTTATCAATATTTATTTAATTCCCCCCCTTCATTCATAATAGAGTGCACGTGTGCACAACAGAGAGACGCACACACACACACACACAGAGAAGCACCCTCCATGGGGCCTGGCCATGCCGTGATCCCTTCCCCCAGTCCTCCAACCCATTGGATTTCGGGCTCTCACACACATGTGCCTGATGTGTTTCAGGTAGACCAGGCTGGGGATTGAAACCATGGTCACCCTGTGGGATCCAGACACTGCATCACAGAGTGGCCCAAGTCAGGAGTATGTGTTCTATCCTGCTGTGTGTGAGAGCTGGCGAGGTGGACACCCAAAGCTAGGAGAACAGAAGGCATGGGCCCCCTCAGCTGTGTGATCCACACCTAGCCTGCGGCCCAGAAGTGGCTTCAGGGAGCGCCTCACTTGCCAGAGGTGCTCTCGTCCCCCCCGGCAGCACACAGCCCCAGTCCCACGCACCTGACGTAGGAGATGTAGGACATCCACTGCAGGTACGTGGGGATGGTGTCGAAGCTGACGAAGAATCCTGAGAACAGGAGGACTGGGATGGCAGTCACAGGGCCCACGAAGGTCGCTACCTGGGGTGGGTGGGACACAGGCGAGAAGCCCACTCAGTGTTCTGCCCAGATGGCCCTGGAGGCCACTGCTCACATTTCTGGATAGTTACTGTCCCCCAGAAAAGACAACCCAGATGTGTGGGGTTTGGTGGTTGCATCTGCAGATCCAGCAGCCTGGCCTCCTGCAGGGGTGGGCTCTCCAGCCCCCACTGAGAAGGTCGAAGTCAGAAAAGTGTGAGTCCCACGAGGGCAGTGGCAGGGCATGCTGTGTGTGGCTACAGAGGGCACCTGATGGCGAAGAGTACAGGAGTGACCCTAGGCATGTCACTATGTCTGTGGTCCCCGTGGAGGCAGAGGGGCTGCCTGCTCCGCTGTGACACCACTGTCCCAGGGCTGGGCTGGCAGAACCCCTGCAGGGCCCATGAGGGCCTTCTCATGGGGGCTGCTGTCTGCTCCTCAGTGGTTGTCCCCACTGTGGCTAAGGATAGAGCTTACTCATGGTGGGCATGACACATGGCAGGATCGTGGTGGGTTGTCACTCAATAGACTGGGAGTGAAGCATTAAAGCCCTCCTTGTAGGCATGGGGACGTGCCTTGTGTGCCCTTCCACTGGGACTGAGTCGGCCAAAGACAGACCAGAAGCAAAATGCCATGTCTGCTGATGTCGGGCGGGCAAGACCCCAGTGAGGGCATGGAGAGTGTGAGTGCGTGTGTGCAGCACATGTGGAGTGTGTAAGGTACGGTATGAGGCATGCATGTGCATTAACATGGTGTAGGCAGTGCCTATGTGTGGCGTGCTTGGGGCTGAGTGAACCTCCGTGAACAGCAGGAGGCGCACTCCTGGCATGCGCTGAGCACTGCGTGGCACCTGCTGTGGTCACTCTCCTCTGCGAGGTGCGGCCAGCTGCCCAGCCCAACATCATCCCTTCCCATCTAGACATTCAGGGCAGACTCAGGGGAGGGTCTCAGGGAGGAGGGCAGTGCTGAGCCCCCGAGAGCAGCTTGAGCCTCATCAGGTCAGGGTGGCAAAGGGAAGCCCAGCCCATGATGTCTCTTAGGCTGGTACCTGTAGGGAAGTAGAGGCAGCCCCAATCAGCAGGCCTAGGGACTGGGCCACCAGAGAGGTCATGGTGCCCAGTGCAGCAAACAGGACGAAGCGCACGGCGTCGGATGGCTGTGATGTCATCCAGTACACGATGCTGCAGTAGGCCACCGGGAACATGATCTGCAACACAGAGCCGTTAAGTGGTGATGGTGGGGAGAGAAGGGGCTGCCAGAGATCCTCTCAGGTTCCAAGCCTATCCTTCACCCAGCCGCTCACTGGCCTCATCGTTAGGAAGACCCCCTTGTGAGATCTGGGTTCCCCATTTTGTAGTGTACATGGGAGAATTCTTGCCCCTTCTGCAAACGGCACCCCTCCCCAGTCACGTACCTGAAAGGGGACGTCTGCCATGGTCTTGGCTAGGTAGTAGGCCTTCAGACTGTACCAATAATTCAGGTGTTCCCGAAGAAAGACCCCCATTTCCAGAGGAACTGGAGATGAGAAAACAAAAAAGGGGTCGGGTAAATGGGCAAGGCAAGCCAAAGGCTCAAACAGGTCCTTCTATGCTAAGCTGTTCGTAACCCAGTTCCGCCTAGGCTGCAGTCTGGGCTTTCAGAACTTAAGTGTTGAGAATTTGAACAAAAATATGTACCGTTTTACTGGGCTGGAAAAATGGCCAGCCATGTTCATAACCTGAAAAGCCATCAAGTGGAGAATCTGAGTGGCAAGCACCTTTGTGAATACTGTAGTGCCTGGTATAAAAATTCTCACCACCAGCTCTAGTCTTACCAAGTTTGCCTCTTCTGAACATTACAATAATGTGATTCTGTGGCCAAACCCTGCAGGATGGTCTCAGAAATTCAGGGCAACTCAGGGAGATATTGTTGCAACTGGGGGGAGGTTATGCCGGAGTTCTGACAAACCTACAGTTTTGTCCACTGTCAGTCCAAATGACTAAGCACAGCTACTGTGAACAAACTAGAACTGCATGGAAAACCATCTAGAAGAGCTTCTCCACTCCCACAGTTGGCCGTAACAGGGATATCTTAACAACTGAACTAGAGAGTGCTTAAGTGGTAGAATTTGAGGGGCTTCTGATAAGTGAACTTGAGAAATACCCCCTCATCAGTTTCCACCATGCTTGAACGTCTTCCATTAGTGATTCTTTCCTTTGGCTTAAACATTGTATTTTCTTATATATCAGCAAACACTATGTGACTTGCATCTGCCAACACAGAAGATGGTATGGCATGGTATTTCAGGAGACTCATCCCTTGGTCAAGGTCTGACTTGGTTCCCAACTTTGGGGTAGAAATCACAGATAATAAAGAAGAGAAGGGTCTGTGGTCACTTACAGGTGAGAACGGTGGGCATGAGGGCTGCGAACATGAGGAACAACATGGAGAAGAAGAGGAAGCCGGAGTTGCTCAAGACCTTCTTGGCCTCGTTCCCAATCCCCAGGTAGAGAAGGCCAATGAGGAGGCCGATCCCAATGTGTGAGGTGATCCGCAGGTGTGTCAGAACCTGGGGGCAGACACGGCTCTTACCCAGTGTACAGGGAAGTCCCAGGGTCAGGCTGTCAAGGGAATCCCAGGCCAAGGCCTTTAGAAGCATCAGACCCTAATTTGTAGAAGAGCAGATCTCTTTCTCTCTTATTATTTTCTCTTTCTCTCTCTCTCTCTTTTTTTTTTTTTTTTAGGTTTTTGCCGTAGGGTGCTTGTACTCTCCAGAAAGAGACAGAGGGAGATGGTAAGTGAGAAATCATCTCCCTCAGGAGATGGCCACACCACACACATGCATCCAGCATGTTTTTTAAGGTGCTGGGTCTGGGATTCAAACTATGGTTGGTCATGTGGGAGTCCAGTGCCTTAACCACTATACCACCTACTGGCCCCCAGAACAGCAGATCTTATACTGCATCTTCCCTTCTCTTCCAGAAAAACCAGCTCAAATCCTAAACCAACTCAAAGTCACATGTATATGTTTGCACACATGCACACACACAACATACACACACACACACACACAGCAGGTTAAACATTAAAACCTATGGGATTACTATCTTGTTAAATCCTCTTTTCAAATGGTAAACAAGGGATGTCTACCCTTAGAAAACAATGGTGGGAGAGGGATAAAGAATAGCTATGTAAAAAATTCTCTGGAAGAACTGAAGAACTTTGGTGTGGGTTGCTGCAAGCCCCTCCAGGTCTCAAAGGCCTTACAGAGCACTCAACCCCTCCTCGGAAGGTGGCCAGATTGCCCACTAATACGATGGTTCCCATGTTCCAGAGCCTCCTTCCCTGCGGGATTGTTCAACTCTACCCATTCCTTAGTGCTCACAATGCTTTCCTGAGGAGGAATCACACCCTCAGATCCTTGCCATCAGGCTTGGCCACGTGACTTGTTCATATAAGTGACAATTTGCCACCTCTAACCAGTAGTGTTAAGGGCCACTTTGGTTTTCCACTTGTACTCCCCTTCGGCATGTCCAGACAGGAGCGGTCCCTTCATTCTGGGTCCCAGGAGGGGAGGGCAGTGGGGCAGAGCCACAGTACGCCCATAGCCTCCAAGATCCAGCACAAGCAAGACACAGACGGTGCTTGTGGCAGACCTGGCATTTTGGGGCTGCTTGTTACTGCAGCACAATAAGAGTGACAGCTGACGCATGCCAAATGGAGGAAAACATCTGAAAGCTCGAGCAGGACGACTCCATTAGAGGAGGACCTGGCAGCTTCCCCTGGCATGAGAGGATGTCTCTGACCACCTTACCGAGTCCCGCATGATGCTGAGGAAGGTCCTTTTGAAGAGGATGCAGAACTGAGTGAGGCAGCTGGCGGAGAAGCTGTGGCAGCCTTCCATGGAGGTGGAGTCCTGAGGACACAGCCAAGGAGGGGAGAGGTGATGTGCCACCCGCCCACTTCCCTCTCGTGCAGAGAGCGCTCATGCAGTAGGTGTGCGGTGCCGCACGCAGCGCTCGGGGGACGGGATCTGCATTACCTTTCTCAACCCCTTTAATCGTTTTGCCTGCTTTACCTCTTCGGAGGGCCGGTGCCAAAGAAAAGGGTTCACCTCGGCATCACCCCCGAGGTCTCTCTTGTAGTCAGAGTCGCACATGCCCTCCCGGACCGCTCTCACCAGGCGGCCATTCTGGTCACCGTATTCGCCAGACGCCACCTCCATGACTGCAAAGACACAGAAGGTGCTTTAGCCCCGGGCACTGGGAAGACGCCCCAGTGGGACCAACTCTTCCTCTGCAATGGCAAAGTTGTCACTCAGCCGGGATGCTTTTAAATGATTAATAGGGCTGCTATGTTGAGATGAATTTGGGTCATTAAAAGTCATGATGTATTTCTGTCCTTCCATACAAAAATGTGTCATGACTTTTCTGGTGACCAAATATATAATGGCATGAGATCCAAATCATTTATCAACCAACATCTGGCTCTGAAACTCCCAGCACGGCTGTTTCTAACGTCAGGAGACTGGAAATGTAACCTGTGCAGTGATGTCAATAGTCTACACGGCGGGCTCACGCATCTTCAGTCAGTGTTTACTGAATGCCTACTCCAGGCCAGCCCACGTATCGGAGCTGGGGAGAGGCGCGGAATGAGGCAGGATTCCTCTCTGAAGAGCTTGTGGCTTAACACTGGGATGAGAGGTGTGGGAGTTCTGGGAGACCACGAAGAAGGCTGCGCCTGGCACCTTGGGGCTTCGAGGTCACAGCTCCATCAGCCACACCTCTCAGACCACAGGGAGTGTCTCCCCCACTGGCTTTGGTCATTGGCTCCCCTCCCTCCTGGGCCCCACTGTCACAGTCCTCTCCCCTCTAGACTTGCTTATTCAGGTGTCCCTCTGTGCTGACTTGCTCTGCTGCTGATGGCTGGTCCCACACTCTGGGGATGCTGCTGCTCTTTCCCAACCTCTGCCTCCTCCCAGTCCATCTGCCCTCTCGTTCCTCCACTCCCTGTGCACTCACCTCCCCTCACTTCATACCATTCTTGCTGAAGTCCAAAGCCCACTGGGTCCCTTGTCTTTTTCACACTCCCATCTGGCAAAACCAGCCATAGTATCTGTTGTTCCAAGCCACTACTGGGGCACCAGGTATTCCTGGAGCCAAGAGCCAGAACAGGTTGGCCCCACAGAAAGGCATCACCCCCACCTCCAAACAGCCCCAGAACTATGGGGAGGTGGGAGTATCTCCACACTCCTCTGGTCACACTCACCACTGAGGGTCGCACTCCCTGCCTCCTGTCTCTCTTCAGATGACACTGAGAGGGAGCACCTCATCTCTCATCTCTCCAGCACCTCTCTGGGTCCCACATGGGTGTTTCTGTCCCCTCCCATCTGTCCTTCTCTCTAGGGTCTGGCCTCCATGCAGGGTCTGGATCCCATCTCCCTTCCCCGCTAGCGGCACCTGGCTGGCTCTTCTTTCTCGTGTGAATGAATGTGAGACTATAAGCCAGGTCCTGCTAACCACACCTGAGGCTGCCCTCCCAACTACTCTCTTCCTCTGGTTTTCTGCTCTCCTCACCACAGCCTACGCCTCGTGAATCAGAGGCATTTATTTCCCAGGAACAGGGTCTCATGCAACACACTCTGAGAAATGATGTCGAAAATACAGAATCCCGGGAGTTGTGTGACCAGATGTTGTAAAGAAAAGCAACCAAATGAGACAGGCTGGTGACTAGAAGAGCAAGGAAGGTATTCACCTGGACCCCAGGAATGCGACCTTATCTAGAAAGAGGTCTTCAAGTGGGATGCGTGCTGAGATGAATTTATCCTTACAAGCAGAGGAGAGGAGACACGGAAACAGAAGACCAGGTGATGTCAGAGGCAGGGACTAGCAGCCAGATACTTTCATCTGAGGGAGAGAATCTCTCTGTGACCTCTTTGAAGCTCTTCCACTGGATGGCCCTCAAGCCATTTGTGGAATACTCAAGTAACTCCTGCTTCAGTGATATCAGATAGACATGACCCCCACAGAGTGAGAAAGAGCCCTTTCTTGTCTTCCAGGGCTGGACATGTCTTTACTTACCAAAGTCTGCTGGGTTGTGGTAGGTTGGGCAGTTCAGACCTAAGTCCCTCAAATACGGCACAAGATTGGAGACTTTCCCCCGGTACACACACTGTCCTTGACTTAAGACATAAAGCTGCAAAACAGTGAGAAGAAGAAGCATCAAGCTCACCTTCCTCTGCAAGGCAACGGGGGCTCTCAGTTAACCAACCGGCCAACCTCTTCTCTCCCGAAAGTTGCACACTATTCCCCAAGGACCTTGCTCAAGGTCGGGGGGAGCCTGGACAAGTCAGGAAAGATAACACGGCATGTGGTCTGGGATTGTGTTATCATACTATTTGCTCTCCCCCCGCCCACCGGCTCTCATAGTAATTATCAGTTCAGAAAAGATTGTGGAGCTATATACATTCTACATCTTTGGGACTTTTTTTGCTCCTACTATTGGGTCATCGGGAAAGTCATGGTGTATTTATCTTCGTTTTTCTATGCAAAAATGCATCATGACTTTCTAGACAATGCATTATATCAAAACCTAAGAGGCAGTGTCTGAGTGTGTTGCCTGGGATTCCATGACCAGATCCCAGGAGCAGAGAGGTCACTGTTCAGCAATTCCTACCCCCAGCAACCCTGGCTGCTATGGTTCCAAATGTCTGATGAAATGTAACACTTACAATCTCTTCAAAAGGAAGATACTCCCCAAATTAACTAAAGGTGATGCACACCCAGTGTTTGGTTTCACTCAGGCTGATCCCAGCACAGCTAGAGTCCAGGACCAGGGCAAGAGGGGCTAGGAGCCTACATACCTGATCGAACAGTTCGAAGAGCTTGGCGCTGGGCTGGTGGATGGTGCAGATGATGGAGCGCCCACCTTGAGCCAGCCCTTTCATCAGGGAGACCACCTGGAAGCAGGATGCGCTGTCCAGGCCGCTGCAAGTCAAAGGGACCATGAGACGCCTGCAGGCAGCAAGAGCAAGCCACTGCCACAGGCTCCGGGAGACCCAGGCATCTAGGACCTTTGGAGGGTTGGAACCAGACACCTGCCAGGCCCTGCTCTACCTGTCTGCTCTCCCTGCTCAATGGTGGAGCACAGTGGGGACTGTGTATATCACAGCTTATTCCCTTTCAAGGTTGAAGGAAGCCCGGCTGGTCTTGAGTAAGGGGCCGGAGATGGGGACAGTGGCGACTAAGACAGGATGGGACCTCAGGAGTATCTGGGCACGCAGTGAACAACAGGGTCTGGCAGTCAGCTGATGTTTCACCTTTCGCTGAAGCTGGGAGGCTGGCAATGAGGTGTCAGTCCAGAGAGAGTGACCTCAGTACAGCCTGCACTGGGGCTTCACTCCAGCAGGTGGCTCACTGAACACCTGTAGGGGCTTTTTACAGGTGCAAGAGTCCTGGAGCTCACCGTGGGCTCTTGCCAGTGTCCATCAAGTTCTCAGAGTGATCTTGCTTTTGTTTTCTCCTTGCTAGCACCCTTAGCCCTACCCCTATACATACTCCGATTCCACAGTGACAGGGAATGGGTGTGTGCTGGAACTCAACCTTCCCATGACAGTCAGCCTGCAGATGCAACTTTAAGAGTGCTTCTAAAATCTCTTCATAGAGGCTGCCTTCAGTACGTCCTGCTATGGGCCTGGCCCTATGCTGGGCCCCTCCCTGTCGAAGGCTGCAAACCGCTGCCCAAAGTAGCTGGGATTTGGAGAGGTGAAAGTGGGCAAGAACAGGACGATGTAAGGTCTGGGTGAAGTCATTTCAGGAGCAGCCCCTCTGTGTCTGCTCACCCTGTCTGGGACAGGATCAGGTTAAGGTGAGCCTGATTCTGTTCATGGACACAAGGCCAGGACACGAGAGCCACTTTTCCACTAGAGGCCCTGATGTAAGGGGGCACCCTTCAGGAAAGAGCTGGGCTCATGTGGGTGCAGAGAGCGGTGAGCAAGGCCAGGCAGGATTCCTTCCTGCAGGCCTCTCTGAGCCTTCAGCGTGCCAACATGCACAGGGTTTCCAGAGCACAGGACACGCGCCCCTCGCAGGGCCTCTCACAGCACTGGCGTCCAGAGCACTGTGCCGGGGAAGTCATGCCATGGGAGAGATGCGCTCTGTGAAGGGCTGTTCCCCCAAACCACATCCCCATGTCCAACTCTCGCTGTGGTAGCCTCCGTGTCAATACATGGGTCTGAGTAGGTGAGGGACAGAGGGCAGGTCAGCCCCTGCCCCATGACCCCCAGGATACAGGGAGTGCAAGTCAGTGAGAGGAATCCATACCACCCTCTCTAGGCCACGCCATGATGTCAGGGCCACTGTGAGACCCTGGAGGGACAGGGGGGTCATTTCTGTTCTCCCAGCCATGGCCCAGGTGCTCTATAGCTCCTGATTTACCTGGTGGGCTCATCGAAGAACATGACTGGAGGGTTGTTCACCAGCTCAAGGGCAATGGCCAGCCGCTTCCGTTGGCCACCCGAAAGGCTTCCAGTCCGCGTGTTGGCACAGGACAGCAAGCCCAGTGCTGTCAGGAT